TAAATATATAAACTATGTTACATGCGTTATATGCGTCTCTAATTATTTTTCCCTAGCAAATTTCAATTGAACCTAAAGCCGCCACGTCAGTTTAATTGATATGCTAATTGATTGACAACTAAGCAAGGTTACTTTTTAATTAATACAAACTTGAGGTTACATCTTTTCAAATGTTTCTCAATTAATATATAGGGGATTCATGTCACTATGCTTCACAAAAATTATGGATGTTATGGAATTTTACTAGAAAAAATTTATGATGTTGATGTATGCTCTCAGATTACAAGTTACTTTGATACTTTTCGCCGGCTCCAGGAATTAAGCTGAAAGTGTAAATGAAAATAAACAAATTCTGATTTTATTGTCATCGCTGTTGAGCAATCAAGCTGGAACAATTAGCAGACAATCTAGAAGAAATACGGGTTTAAGAATCAGTGAACCAATGGGAAGGGGTTCACAGGAAAAAAAATTATTTTTTTTTGTTTGCTTTTTTAGCAAAAAAAATTAATAACGTACGGACCACTCACGATCCGACACGTGGCGAAACTGTGATGAACCGGGTTCATCCCAGCGAACCTGCAAGACCCGGATTCACTAAAATCATCATATATATATATTTTTTTGATCCGCGTGTGAACCTCCTCCACGAACTTTCAATGCGGATACTCTAAGCGAGGTACGTAGTGATCTTGGTTGAAACCTTTGACATGTTTGTGTTAAAATCTAACTTTTATTATTCATGAACTTCCTAATCCTACATAGTTTCTTATATTAAAACAAACAAAAACGAAACAAAAGTAACCTAATATAAAGTTTCATACTGAAACAGACGAAATTATTAAAAAAATTATTGGTTTATCTTGACCTTGTGCAGTGGAATCTCTTTGCTTTGCAGTGTTGTCTTCCATGACTTGCTTCAAGAGAGACTTTTTTTTTGCTCGAGCAACTGTGAGCTCATTCAGTTTCTGCTTCAACCGGGGTAAGATCTTAGGTAAAGCCTTCTTGTAGTCGTGTCTCACATGTTCAAACACATCAACATGACATAGCTCTTTGATGCACGTGTAGAACATTACTCCAAGGTCCCCAACTTTCATCTCTCCCTTTATAACTTTCTCGGCTTTCTCCACTGCACTTCTCAGACTTTCCATCGACACATCAGCCTCACTCATCTCTTCTTCGCATATCGCCATTGCGGTTTCGTACTCGGTTAGCGTCTTATGTTCGAACGCATAACCTTTCACCAGAGAGACTTTGTTGTTCAGTACCTCGTACTTGACATGACACTGTTCTTCCTCGGGGATAAGCTTTCTCGGTGTAACCGCATATACCTTCTACGCTTCTTCGTCAGACTCCACCCATTCTGTTCATCAGAGTGCAAGTTTCTTCCATTATTTCCCTCCAAGTTCATATTTAAGAGCACATTGGTAACGTATTTCTCAGACTCTCAGCTCCTCAGAGACATCTTCTTTATTAGGCTTTTCATCTATTTTAACCCTAACCCCAACATCGGCTCTAATCTTTAGGTTACCATGATGAATAAAATAATTTTTAGAGCTCTCATCTACTTTAGACCTAGTTCCAACATGGGCTCCTATCTTTAGACTTTAGATTACCATAATGAATAGGATGATACTCTTTTAAGCTGTCATCTACTCTAGGGCTAACCTCAAAAACATGGTGTTCTCGGATTTCACCGTCTTCAAGTTCGGTATCAACGTGGTGGTGGTGTTGTGTCTTTGCATCAATGTCGAACAAAAGTTGAATAGAGTTACGGAACTCGGTATGATCGATTCTGTTGTTATCGAAATTTTCAGTCAAGGAACGTATCGTTTCCATTCCCTGGGGGGCCAAGTTTCTTAGTGAGATCCTTACATAAGTTTTTGAGAGACTCACGCTCACCCTCACTCATGGAACCCATCGCTTCTCAGTCGTCTTCTACCTTTCTCTCTCTCACGCTAATTTGCTTGGGCTCTATTTGACTATTTGAGTCTCTGTTACACGATGAAAAGGCAAAATAAAAAAAAAGGGAATTTCTTAGTCAGGATAGTATTTGGAATAGTCTTTTTTTGTCAACTGGAATAGTCTTTCCTTTTCTTAAACGTATGTATCTTCATTTATCCTTTTTTTTTCAATTAAAAAGGTGGCTTCGTCTTCTAATTCAGGTGGGTTAGCAAGTAATAAAACAGAAAGTTTATATATAAAGTAAAACTAGATTTGACCCGCGCTTTTAAAGCGCGGTGTTATTACTCTTTCCGTTTTATTTTACATGTCGTTGTAGAGAAATTTTTCTGTTTCAAAATAAGTGTTGTTTTGTAGTTTCGATACAGAATTTATTAACTTTATATAACTTTTTTTATTTTTTTATTGTTGAAATGTGGTTATATGCATAGATAATTGTATTTTTATTTTGAAAATATATAGAATTAAATGTTTTCTTAATTTGTGTGAAAAACCTAAAGCGACAACTAAAATAAAACGGAGGGGGTATTTTGATTAACAAAAATATTCAATTTCATATTGTGTAAATCATTTATTTGAATAATTTTGTAGGTGGGTTATTTTTAGATTTTGAATATTTCGCTGATACTATATTAAATATATTTATAATTATGCTAGATTTTAACCCGTATAATAATGAAATATTTTTATTTAAAAATAATATTTTAAATATTTGTTATAGTTTCAAAAGTTTGTTACAGATTTTGCTTACATGTCGATATCACATGAGTATCCATTTGGTTAGACTACTTATGTTGATCTCATTTAAATATTTACTATGTACTAAAAATTGTAGTTAGGTTAGTTTTATACCAACTACCAAGTAAACCTATATTGTATGAGGATGAAGAGCTACCTATACCAAGTACCAAGTAAACATATACTTTAAGGAGTTAATTGGCCGATACACCCCAAATGGGGGTGTATATTAGTTACTTGCCCATGATGGGACATATTTATTTTGTCTGACCAAATTGCCTTTTTTTTCTCTCTCCTTCCTTCCTGCATTTACATTTACTTGCCCATGATGGGACATATTTATCAATGCTCTTCTCTCCTCTTATCATTTTCAAAATGAATTACATGCAAAATAAATATGTTAATTATTTTTGAGTTCACTTTGATTCTTAAATAATAATTGTAAATTTTAAATTTACTCAATGTGATTTGGAAATACAAAATTCGGTGATACTTATTTGTTAACAGTTAATACATAACACCTCTATTAAAAATATATAATTTTTAAATGTGTTGGTTGTTAACAAATATTATAGACGTTAGAGAAGTACCCATATTTGGTGTTGATATTAGAGAAGTTCATACAATTAAATTTTAAATTTCATTATCTTTTTCATAAGTGGCTTTGAATCCTCATTTTTTTGATGATATCAATTTTCTGGGTTTTAGTTTCGACGTCGTGTTAGCGGTTAACAAATATTGTAGACGTTAACAGAAGTGTTTGTTGTTAACAATTATTTTTACGCTTCGCGTTAATAAATATGTTCGTTGTTAACAAATATTGTAGACATTAACAAAAGTGTTAACTGTTAACAATTATTTTTACGCTTCGCGGTAATAAATGTGTTGGCTGTTAACAAATATTGTAGACGTTAACAGAAGTGTTATATGTTAACAAATGTTTTTGCGCTTTGTGTTAATGAGAGGAAAGAGAAATGGTATTCTCGGCATTTCCTTGCCAAATGGTTGTGTCAGTGTCCTTCATGTCTAATCAATTGTATTTTGCTAATTTGAGCTTGAAATAAGGGTAGTTCACTAAATCACTCTACTTTAAGAGAATGATGTGATGGAAATGTAAGTAGGAGCTACCTATGTCTTCTTCTTCTTTTTTTTGTTGAATGAAGAGCTACATATATCATGTATCATAACATAAAAAGAAATGTAATTAAGACTTAGGAGATGTATTATTAACAACTTACATCAAACTATTAATAATAAACATCGACAGTGATTGATATTTCAGCATATATAATATTACGTGAACTTAAATGATTATAATATACCAAGTCTATTGTAATGTGAAATAAACGGCTATAATATGAAAAACGTCAAATTAAATATTTCGATATGACAATAGTTTTATGAATATTAATAGTAAACATCGACAGTGATTGATATTTCAGCATATATAATATTACGTGAACTTAAATGATTATAATATATCAAGTCTATTGTAATGTGAAATAAACGGTTGAAATATGAAAAACGTCAAATTAAATATATCGATATAACATGGTGAAAAGCTTGAAAAACCCCCACTATGTATTTAGCAAAAAAAAAAAAAAGGAATTTCCTATTCAGGATAATATTTGGAATAGTCTTTTTTTTTTGTCAACTGGAATAGTCTTTCCTTTTCTTAAACGTATGTATCTTCATTTATCTTTTTTTTTTAATTAAAAAGGTGGCTTCGTCTTCTAATTCAGGTGGGTTAGCAAGTAATAAAACATAAAGTTTATATATAAAATAAAATTAAAGGGAATTCTCTCGAAAGATAATAAATTGTTCTTTTTTCACCAAAAGAACATAGAGCTAGGAAAATAACTAAAAGAATTTTCACAAAAGAGGTAAAAAACTATGAGTTCTACTCTTATTTTTAAAATAGATAAATATAAATAATTATTTAAACAAATATTAAAAATAATTTTTATTAATTCTAATAATATGTTCTCAAAATTTTTTATTTTATTTTTTTATTTTGAAATTCAAAATTTCAAAAATTCTTTTTGACAAATCAATTAGTGAATTAATCTAAACTTATGGTTTAGATTTGAAGGTGGAGTTTCGGGGCGGAGAGAGGGGAGAGGGGGTTAGAATTTTTTTTTAAAGAAATGATTACGATAAAATTTTATAATAATAATTTTAAAAATATTTCGAAAAATCGGATTCAAAATAAAATTTACAAAGACAAAAATAAAATAAAAACGTCTCGAATTGAATATAGTATTTCCACAAATATTTTTTTTTGTATTTTAACTATTTATTTACACTTTTATATTTACTAGAGTCTTTGTCCGCGCTACGCGCGGAAAATGCTTTTTATATTTGACCAATTAATAGACCAAAATAGTTCTTCTATATTATTTATTATTATTTTTATTTGTAAAACAATTTAATGAATTTAGAATTCATCAATCAGAAAATGTCTAAAACAGTAAAAAAAAATGTATATAGGTTGAGTTTTTTTAAGGTACATATTGTTGCTTTGTGAATGTAACATTAGTTTTCTATAAAATATATGTTTTTATTAGCTTCTGAATGGATTAATGTGATTAATCTTTGGTAAAGTAAGAATAATATTTTATTCCGAAGGTTGGGGTAAATAATATGTTTTTGTACTGTTGTAAAAGTCAATTAGCCAAAATCAAATACGATAATGAAATTTATTTTTCATCAACCTTTATATATGTTTGGATTAGTGATTGTTATCAAGATAATTTTCTTTTACTCTTATATGCTTTGAAATTGTTTAAAATTTATTGTTCAACCATTTTTTATGAAGAAATGTTCAAAATTACATGTACGATATTTCAAAATTAATTTTTTTTGTTTGTAGTTTTTGTTTGTTTTTTATACTTTTTGGTAAAAGTTTTCTGTGATGTGTATTTTTCCAATAACATTAGGATGTACTTTAAAAAAAAAATCTGTTTTGAAATTAAAATAAGTAAACAAAAATTTTATTTATGAAATTATCTAATAGGAATGTGTTTATAAGTGGCTAGAGACATAACATTTGATTGTGAGTTTGGCCATAACATATATGAATGTATTTTTCTTAATGGAATTATTGTGGTTTCTTGGGTGATTTGAATTATATGCGAACACGATGTTAGAATGTATTCTTTACCATTTGCAAAAACAAACTATAATATGCATGATATATCAAAGATCCTTAACATATGATTTTAATTATATATATATATATATATATATATATATATATATATATATATATATTCATGTTTAATTTTAAATTTTACATATTTGTAAAAATATAATTAATATTTTGTTTTCAAAATTTGATAAGCTTATTTTTATTACTTGCTTCAAGATTATTTTTTTTTGGTAGCAAAACAAATAGATTCAACTTGCTTCAAACTTGTTCACATATATATTGAACTATCAAAGTAATAAATGTGTGTGTTTATTTCCTCTTTATTTTGCCATTTTGTAATCCTTAATGGTTTATTTTCATCTTACTTTTTTGCATATTGATATTAGATATCTATTTTTATTCATTTTATTTATTAAGTTATTACTATTTCATAATTCTACTTACTAAATTTCAGAATATTTTATATTTTATTTAATTGCATCATCAAAGATTAGTATAATTTCTCATACTGCTTTATCACTAATTTGTTGCTTTAATTTATCTACATAACTATATTATATTTAATAGGCTAGAAATGTGTAAATTTAGAGTTAGACATGAGTTTGAAACAATGACATTATTTATTTACCATCTCTGTTCATAAAGACTAAATCAATTTTTATTTCAAAATAAGCGTGGCTCTATATTTCAAATATAAATATTCTTATTTAATCACTCTCTTGCCATTTTAAATAACCTATATATATTAGTTAAATTATTTTCGTTTAATTAATTGTATACTAAATAAAAATATTAATTAATATATTTTTTTCATTTTCTCAATCTGCATGAAAGATATCCAAGTAACACTATTTATGAATTAATCACATGTCAAAATAGAAATACGAGATCGAAAATTTATAAAATAAGAATCTGAAACATGTAGGGAATAAAACATTTTGTGTAAGTATTAGAAAAGAGAATAATAAAGAAAAACACTCTCTTTTAA